GTAAACTAAGTGAACAGTAAAGTGAACTTAATAATTGTTTATCTTCATGCACATAGATCACTGCAAAAGCCTATCAGTTTTCAATGCCCAGTAAGGTCAAGTAGTTGCTTTATCTTACTGAAAGCACAAAACACAGTGGTCTGTTTTGTATCATTTACACATGCTAGGATTTCTGTTTTTCTTTGGAGGTGATATAGGTAGACTTTTGTTACTTACTTTCTCACAGTCTCTTTTATTCAAAACACTATTAAGATTTTATTTTATCATGTTACAATAAAATTATGCAAGCTAAATAGTGACTGTATTTTAAGGTCAGTGCAAAAAGCATGTAGGGGCCTATTCAAAGAAAAAACAGGAGATAAAAATTAGAATAAATATGGACTTGCAGTTTATAGGGGTCAGATTCCTTGTGTCATTTTAACAGAGAATAGGAATAGTGGAAGTATTTTATTTGGGTCAATGCAAAAATCATTTAGGGGGCTATTTATAGAAAAAAATTAAATAAAGACAGCATTGCTATTTATAGGGATACGATCAGATTCCTTGTTAGCAAAAGAGGACTCTACTGACGGATTAGAGGCTTTGAAATTGATGGCAGTCAGACCTATATGTAGTCACCAATGATCATGCTCATAAACAGTATATATAGAGGACAGTGGAGCCTGACGAGCAGCTTCCCGGCCGGCCCCTGTAATTACACGGCCGGCGGGGAGCTTTACATTCAAGCGATCGAGCGCCTCTATTAGCAGCTGTCACTGCTGGTCCCGAGCTCCGCTGTGCCCGATGCGGCCGGGACCGCCACGGCTCTGTGACAGGAGATCAAAGGGAGTTCACTATACGAACTCCCTTTGATCTCCTCTCAGTCCCCGAATGCAGGAAGTGATGTATATTGCATCACTTCCTGCATTCAGTGCCACTCTCCAGCTACAGAAGCTGATGAAGCAGATCCCTGCTTCATCAGCTTCTCTGGGAGTCCCTAGGTGACATTAGGGGTCTTGGAGACCCCTGATGTCTCCATAAAGAGGACCTGTCATGTAAATTGGCTATCACATAGGGGGCTTCTTAGTCCCCCCCACCATGTAATCGCAATAAAGTTGTTTGTATAAAAAAAAAAAAGTAATACAAAAATTAAAGAATTATAAAAAATAAAGAAACATAAAAAAATTAAAAAAGAAAAAAAAAATGTTAAGTCCCCGCCCCCCACATACACACGCATATATGCGACGATTGCGCCGCACATGTTACATATCGCCGCAAACGTCGGAGAGCAATAATTTTAGAGCCATTAATCACTTATAACACTAAACTGATGAGCAGTAAAAGCATTTTAATCGTCGCCTATGGTCGTTTTTCGCGACTTTGTGGGCGCACGCAATTTTAAGGCTTGACATGTTTGGTGTCTATTTACCCGACGTGACCCCGACTTTTATGTTTTACTAAAAATATGGGTAAGAATAAATGTTTTTTAACATAACGTAGGGAAACTTTTTTTTTTTTTTACATTTATGGTATATACCTCCAAAATAAAGCTCTATCTGGCCCCATAGTTGGCTAAGAGGGAGAGTGCAGCACTACCATTGGCTGCTCATGTATTTTAGCAGAGTAGGGACAGAGAAGATGCATCAAGGCTGCTGGGGGCTTCACATGGGAGAAACATAGCTGTCCCCCCCCCCACCACCCGGAGCCGGAGGAAGAGGGCATGACAGAGCACATGATCTAGTACATCAAAACTGTAAGTCCCTTTCTATCTTACACCGTTGTCTTCCGCACTCTGCGTTACATTGCTGTCCGCCGCACTTTGCGTTACATTGCTGTCCGCCGCACTTTGCGTTACATTGCTGTCCGCCGCACTTTGCGTTACATTGCTGTCCGCCGCACTTTGCGTTACATTGCTGTCCGCCGCACTTTGCGTTACATTGCTGTCCGCCGCACTTTGCGTTACATTGCTGTCCGCCGCACTTTGCGTTACATTGCTGTCCGCCGCACTTTGCGTTACATTGCTGTCCGCCGCACTTTGCGTTACATTGCTGTCCTACGCACTTTGCGTTACATTGCTGTCCTCCGCACTCTGCGTTACATTGCTGTCCTCCGCACTTTGCGTTACATTGCTATCCTCCGCACTTTGCGTTACATTGCTGTCCTCCGCACTTTGCGTTACATTGCTGTCCGCCGCACTTTGCGTTACATTGCTTTCATCCGCACTCTGCGTTACGTTACTGAGCTCCGCACTCTGCATTACATTACTGAGCCCCGCACTCTGCGTTACATTACTGAGCCCCGCACTCTGCGTTACATTACTGACCTCCGCACTCTGCGTTACATTACTGACCTCTGCACTCTGCGTTACATTACTGACCTCAAAAAAGGTCACAAGCACTCCAGCATGTAGAAAAGTCATTGTTTATTGACTTCACAAGTATATTTATCTGTTTTGCCTGAGGAAGGGACTTTGCTGTTCCAAAACATCGCTCTGATGATGTAACACCTGTGAAGTCATTAAATATTGACTTTTCTACATGCTGGAGTGCTTGTGACCTTTTGGAATTTTTCGGATTTATTTTGCGGAGGCATCCGCGGTCATTTCAGCACCCACCCTACAATTTGGGTTTTCTATCCGGTCAGAAGTGCAATGGGTGTGTATGAACATTACTGACCTCCTCACTCGGTGTTAGATTACTGACCTCCGCACCCTGCGATACATTATTGACCAATGCACTCTGCGTTATAACTGACCTCTGTCCCAATACTAAAAACCGATACCAGCACTTACATTTTTCAAATTGACTTAGGTGTCTTAGGTCCGGCACTTGCTGGGGACCTTGCGGCAGCCTTCTGGGGAGCCACGCAATGCCTGCTTACAGCGCTTCTGTCACCCGCACATCTCCCCTTACTAAGACACTCCCCACCCCTCCTGACAAGCTCCGCCCAAGACATTAGGCCAGAACCCCAGAGTAGAGCAGCAGCACAGAGTATGTGGCAACTGTATATACTATTGTTCTGCATTGTTCTATGTTTTGCTGGGATTTGTAGTCCTTTATAGCTGATGGTATTATTCCGCAAGGCTGCATAATGTGTTACTGAGAATTGCAGGATTCTATAGCTGGTGGTATTCTGCATTACTGTATAATGTACTGCTGGGATTTGTAGTCTTCTATAGCTGGTGGTATTATTCTGCATTACTGTATAATGTATTGCTGCAGTTTGTAGTCCTCTATCGCTGTGTAACATAGGTGATTATTTACACACCCCTGGTGTTTGCTGAAATTGCTTTAAACTATAAAGAAAAGCTTTTGAGAGTTTTCCTCTCTTTCTCAAGTCTGAAGCAATACCTGAGGAAGAAAGAAAAACTCTTGAAAGCTTGTCTTCTAAGTATTAGGTTAGTACAATAAAAAGGTATCACTGCATACCGCATTACTCTCGTATTTTGTAATCTTATTTATATATACTTCTTTAGTTTTTTCAGTGGTATGATTTAGTGGTGAAAATTATTAGTGCCCCCCCGTTTTGACTGTGGTATCTTATGTGCCCCCCTATATATTGTTCCTAGAGTCGCCACTGTATATACATATACACACACACACACACACACACACACATGTACATACACACAGTAAGCTCTCTGTTATCCGGTATTCAGCTAATCAGAACTCCCATCTAACCGGCAAAAAAAAATCCTGTGTACTCATTGTTCTGCCGATCTGCCACCTTCTAGAAGAGGGAGAGAGGGCTCTGGAGCATGGAAAGGTACAGGAATGGGCTGCAAAGTGCTGGATTATCCTAGAAATAAGTGTCTGAGTGATCTTTGAAAAGAGCAGTGTTTTCCTGGAAACGGGTGTGTGATCAATAGGTTGTGAAAGTGCTGTGTTATCCTGTGAACAAGTGCCACCCAGTGATCACTCCCAGTAGTGCAATGTATTGCTAATGGTTTAGAGTACAATATACTGGTATGGTATATTATGGGGTATAGCATTAGTTAAACCCATTTTTAATAGTAACTCTAAAGCAAACAGAAACTAAATTTTACACACACGCATACATATACACACAGTAAGCTCTCTGTTATCCGGTATTCAGCTAATCAGAACTCCCATCTAACCGGCAAAAAAAAATCCCCTGTGTACTCATTGTTCTGCCGATCTGCCACCTTCTAGAAGAGAGAGAGAGAGAGAGGGCTCTGGAGCATGGAAAGGTACAGAAATGGGCTGAAAAGTCCTGGATTATCCTGGGAATAAGTGTCTGAGTGATCTCTGAAAAGTGCAGTGTTATCCTGGAAACGGGTGTGTGATCAATAGTTTGTGAAAGTGCTGTGTTATCATGTGAACAAGCCACCCAGTGATCACTCCCAGTAGTGCAATGTATTGCTAATGGTTTAGAGTACAATATACCGGTATAGGTGGGGTATAGCATTAGTTAAACCCATTTTTAATAGTAACTCTAAAGCAAACAGAAACTAAATTTATCCAGAATCTACCAATCCCTGCGGATGCGGGATAACAGGGATTTTACTGTATGTATGTATGTATGTGTATATATATATATATATACAGTAAAGGGCCTCAACATGATTTCTTTGGCACAATTAACCAGGTCAAAAAGCAGGGCAGCATGTCAAAATATGCATTACTATATTCGGGTCAATACTTTTTCCCAGTTTTTTTTGCTAAAATTAGGTACCTCGGCTTATATTCGGGACGGCTTATACTCGAGTATATACGGTAATCCTTTTTAATATTAATTAAATAATAACAGGATGCAAGGATGTGATTTTTAATTCTTTTATCACAGCCAGCACATTATAGTGTGAAAAGTACCACCAAAAAGGTACCATATAAACATCAACCAATTCATCTTTGTTTTTCAAAAACTACTAGTATAGTTTAATGACTGTATACTCCTAATAAGAGAAAATTGGTAAAACTGTCCTGAATACACAATAGTACATTAGCATGAAAATGTAAAATGTTACATGTAAAAACTCTTATTTGTTTTACATTGTGCAGGTATTCTGGAAATCAGAACAGTAACAGTTGGAATTGTTGCAATCAAAGGAGTGCAAAGTGAATATTTCCTTGCTATGAATAAGTCTGGAAAGCTCTATGGAAAGGTAACATATAAATACAACGCAAAATGTAGCAAAAAAAGGTTGAGCCAATATATGAATACACCACATTAAATCACCAATTTATCATTAAAGATTGTCCAGTTTCCCGCCCAATATAGTTGTCAAATTTCCAAGAAGTCCTGCTTTTAGGCCCCCGTCACACATGCCTTACAGCACACACCAAAATGCATTATTACATGAACTGTCTTTTGCATACCATTAAGGCAGCTCATTCATGCACCTAAAACTGAACAACCATCAATTTTATAAACTCGGTGCACCCTAGTGCGCATATATTCATATCTGTGACTTGTGGTGTACTGCAACGCACATGCTTTTGGAATACGTTTGCAAGGCATGTTGTGGTGCCATTCAAAATTAATGGGACCACCAATCGTACATAGCAGTGTGATATGGTATTGCACAACAAAATGTGTTATACTGAACGTTACTGCATTGCACAGCACAGCTGTGTTCAACCCTGGAGCCCCAGAAATGTCCAAGGACCTATGCTTTATTATTCTTATCCGTGCATTGCACACTTAGCAAGTGCCTGAACAATGAGTTCCTACCTTATTGTCTGTCTTGAACAGTAATCCTGCGATCGTACGAGAATCGAGCAGTGTGAACGAAGACGTGCGACCGTTTCTACTGTACGGTCGCACGTCTTTTGTCTAAGGAGCACGCTAGAAAACCAGCCGAAAATCGCACGATTTTCAGCTGGTTTGAACGGTGCTCGGGAGACAAATGCCGAACGGCCACTGTGCGCACGCGCACACTGCCCGTTCACCATTGCGGTCATCGGAAGCCCGCCCCTCAGGGGGGCGGGCTTGCGATGATCGAGAGTACGATCTGCCTGTCCAAGATGGGCAGATTGTATGTTTTTTTAATCACTTTACAACCATCGCAAGACTAAGGTCTTGCGATGGTTGTACAGTGTATGGCCACCTTTAGACTGCTTGATGGGGTTTCTGTTTCAACTAATTTACAATCAATTAAGCATATTCTGCCAATCTATTAAATCTTTTCCAATCTGTAAAACTGATCAAGGTTTGGTAGTCCATCAAATATATTAATACAAGTTTGCCTTGATACTTTTACTCACTATCGAAAGGTGGTTAAAAGTGCTTGAAAATTGTAAGTGCCAAGTGTATGGCTAGCAATAGAGCATTACAGCTCTGAATTTGTGAACGTTTTTAAAATCCACAGTGATCTGCAGGAAAACAACAGTTTCTAGGTCCTATGAGTGCTTACTTTTACCTGATCAAACCTGTTAATGCCACAGACAACTAATAAGCGATGGTCCTAATTTCAAGCATCATTTTCCAAGATAGAGTTCAGTTTTCTATGGTTGTCCATGAAACATTTTGTCACTGAAATGTTCTTGGTTTCAGTTCTAGCCAACCCTAGTCGAGCCTTTATTGCTGTTTATGTCCCCACTAGGCAGATTCCCCCTTGTTAAGTAGTGACCATTATTTCTGAGAACGAGCTAACAAATCCATTATGTTTAACTTGTCACCAGAACAGGAAGTGAGGGGACATCTTTCAATGGCAATTCCTGTTCTGGTGGAATACAATTCCCCCTTAACTGTAGCGATTTCTTCTCAATAAAAGTTGCATCTCTCGGACAAAAAGTAATTGGAAATCTTCCCAACTGGACACAGACAAAAAATAAATAATCAAGGGGTATAAACCATTCCCTACTGCTTCCAAAACTAAATACAAAAATGTTGGTTACTTTGAAGGAAATTTATGAGGGGATAAGTTAGGCTTCACCTTTGGAAAATATTCATTGCTAGGCTGTCATGTTGATCCAATAATTCCATTATTTTCTGAGTCATTGACCCAAGAACAAGCCTGAAGATCAGGATTTCTGACTTCACTATAGCTTTATTTCTGCACGCTTGTTCCAGATCAGCCACTAAATATATTGAGGCTAGAGTCATCCAAGCAACTACTATTTTCAGAATTTTTGTCAATACTACCATCTTCATACTGAATATGTTCTAATGGGTTAAAGACTGAATACTGCTGAATGTCTAGGCGTGCATTCAGCCATAGCAAAGCATTACCTGTCTTCAGCTACAGCGAGAAATATGCCCCAAACACACCTCGAAGCATGTATTTTTATTCTCATGTGCATGGGGCCTAACTGGCTGAAGCCACTGTTAACTAAATCTTGCATGCTGAGAAGCAGAAGTTTAAGCTTAACTGAAATATTTGCATATGTGGTATGATTCATTTTTATAGCATAAGCAGATAGTGTTTTCCACAGAAGAATATTACAGCTGGGGTTATATGTGGCCATACTATATGCAACTGCTGCTGAGTTGAGTGATTATGTAATGTTATTTCTTTATATTTTAGAAATTGTGCAATGAAGACTGCAACTTTAAGGAGTTGATCCAAGAGAACAAATACAACACATATGCATCAGCCCAGTGGACACATAATGGAAAAGAGATGTTTGTTGCATTGAACAATAAAGGGTCTCCGATTAAGGGGAAGAAATCCAAGAAAGAAAACAAAAGTTCCCATTTTCTTCCAGTGCACATGTCCTAAACTTTGTTCACCAGTTCCAGCAGAATATATATATATTTTATATTTTAATAATAATATTAATAATAAAATCTTGCAAAAGGATACAAGTATAAAAAAGCTGGATCTACTACTGAAAATCCCTACAAGCTGGACTTGCGCATTTACATGGACAAAAAAAAAAGACTTCTGCTCAAAAATATACAAGGAGAAAAACCGTAAAACAATTTAGCCAAAGCAAGATATACTTTCAAGATGTAAAAATTTTGAAGCGTTGTACAAACATATGTAGTCATAATCCTGGGGTATTATTTTTTTTGGTTAAATTATCCCAAAAGAAGGAGGATTGACTTGATCATCTGATGATCTATATTTAAAATAAAATCTGCTTGTCAAATATGGCTGCTATAAGAAAAAATATTTTTGTGTTTTCTTTTTTTATTTTAAAAGAGCAGATAATAGTGTTATGTAAAATATGTCGGACCGTATGGCTGCTGGAATGATGTCAGATTTTCAAGTCAATTCTGCATGTAGACATTGAGTGGTACCTAAATGATTCTTAATGAAGAAACTGTATGCACAATATAATATAAAGAAAACGTAATATTTTACCTTTGTGACTATGGCATTCAAATTAAAATGTATTTATCAAATGAGGATATACAATTTGTTATTTACTCCTCACTCTTAAGAATGCCAGATGCTGCTCATATTTTAACAGTACTACAAATTCATTACTCGCTTGTCTATGTGCAGTTTGGTCTACATATGAGAACATCAACTTCTTGCAATACTGACTTAATAAAAGCATTTCAGTTATATGAAAAATATCTTGTTAAATAATGACTTTGTTTATAACAATATAATAGATGCAAGCTTACTTTATCAATGGTCATTACCAGTTAATCCAGCTCTTAAAATTAAAGTGTATGTAAACCCCAACAATTAACTTCTCTTAGTTGCTCCCTTTTAGCCTGTTAAATAGACTATTGAAAGCATTTTGTTATATTTGTTTGAGAAGTGCAAATAATACCTGTTGATCCTACTAGAAATCCAGTAAGCTCCTAATTCCCTGCAGTGAGCGGACAATGCTGCACTGACAATGGAAATAGATATCATCCTTGCCCACCTCTGTAGACTGCAGAACACACCCTATGTTATAGAGATTATGAGAGGGGGAGGTTCTATAGTCTACATCAGGAGCGAGTGGCTTAAAACTGCTCCTCCATAGATATAGTACAGTGAGCATTGTCACTCTAGGACAGGAAGTGTTTTACTGACAGGATCACCAGGTGAAAATAATAAAAAAAAACAAAAAACGAATGCAGCCACTACATCTAAAATCTTCCAAGCTGCAATATATAATATTTTTGTTCTTGGGTTTAGATACACTTTAACTGTTTTTTTCCCGCCAGTGCATTTGTGAAGATATTTAATATACAGGTGAAACTCGAATAATTAGAATATCGTGCAAAGTTCATTTATTTCACTAATGCAACTTAAAAGGTGAAACTAATATATGAGATAGACTCATTACATGCAAAGCAAGATAATTCAAGCCGTGATTTGTCATAATTGTGATGATTATGGCTTACAGCTCATGAAAACCCCAAGAACCCCAAATCCACAACCTCAAAAAAGTAGATTATTACATGCAATCAATAAAACAAGGATTGTACATAGAACAATATCGGACCTCTGAAAAGTACAAGCATGCATATGTACTCAGTACTTGGTTTGGGCCACTTTTGCAGCACTTACTGCAATTACTTTTGCACGATATTCTAATTATTCGAGTTTCACCTGTAGATGGTATATGGTGTCCTAGAAAGGGTTTCATAAACAGTTATGTGCAGAGCAAAATCACCAACATCGCATGGAAAAGCTGTGCAAATCTGTACACACTGATCTGTACAAAAAAAACAAACGATGTATGTTCTTTGTACATGGCCACCAAAAGCTGTCTGACTTTCCATGATCTCTTTTGATTACCAAAGAACTGTATATCCAATGTTCTATACTTATTTTGAATTCAACACCCATTGTAAAATATGGTAAATCACATGCTATTATAAAAACAGAGAACCACTCATCCAATGCAACAGCTATGTGAAATTCTAACATGACAACATTTGTGAATGCACTCCTGCTTTGGGTACAAATAAAAAATGTTTCTCATTACTTTCAATGGCAAGAGCTAAGTTTTAGGGAAAAAGAAAGAGCTTTAAAGTTTTTAAAAACATTTTTTAGAACTCTGCAGACAGTTAACTGGTATTACTCTAAAGAGGTATGACAGTGATGTACCACATGATGGATTATTTTGAAAGATTTTTCCCGTCTGTTAAAAGCCCAAAAACATTTTTAAATGCTTAAAATAAACTGTTAGATATCATTATGTCTACAGAATCTTAAAGTGCACACCTGTTGGGTTTTTACTGGGGTGTGTGTCCCAGCTAAGGAGATTCACCCTCTCTATTTGTCCTAGTTATTATTGTCATGGGGACCGAAAGTAAAGGACAATCAAACATTTTAAGTAATCACTGGAACAAGACTAAAGGGGAAATCTTTCAATAGGGACACTTGCTGCGGGAGAAAATGTCCTTCATTTTGGAGAGGTTTGTTCTCACTTTCTGTTGTGTCTACTGACTTTAGCTTGAACAGAAATACAATAGCATAACCTAAAATTATACTTAACATTGGTCCCTTGTAAGTCATAATCTCTGCATTGTAATAAAGTCAACTGCAAATGGCCATTTTTTAAAATATGTCTAAAAAGAGAAAACTCATTACTAGTGTGCAAGATTTAAGCATGGTGTATAAAGCTGGCACATTCTCCTGCCTATATTCCTCTGGTTTAAAAATTTACATCAAGCACTTCTGAGTTTAGGTGAGCTATAACTTCTTCAACCACCAAACTCTGTTCCCACCTCAACTGTTACAACCCCTTAAGATTTTATTAATATAGCATACAAACCAAAAGGTGTGCATGTAACAGAGGTTCTAGTTTTGACAAACAAATGTGACCTAAAAATAAAGGACTAATGAGTGATTTTACTTTGCAATCACTTTTGTGTTGTAGTCTTTAAAAAATGAAGACCCCCATTCACACCTTTGTGCTTTAAAACTGCAGGCAATAACAAATAGCTTTGCAGGGACACTTAATTGTATAGCCAAAGCCAAAATATTTTTTTATGTTTGTATAGAGGGTTATAGGGAATATTTATAAATTATAATATATACAGTAAACTCCCCATTATCTGACATCCAAGCAATCAGCACTCTAACGTAACCGGCAAAAAAATAAAACAAAATCGAGGACGTATGTCCTGGATTTTTTTGGGCAGGTGGCTTGATGCATATTAAAAAATTGTAATTTGCTTAGTGCACCCTAACTAAATGTATTTAGTTGCTAAAAAAATTATTTGTTTGCTGCCGACCAGTGGCTAGATTCCACGTCGGCAGCAGAATGTAAACAATGGGGAGAAATTGCTTGCTATTGGCTATTTTAAATTGCAATAGCCAATAGCAGGTTGGCTATTGTGCCCACGCACTGAGCAGAGCGGACCGGAGGGAGAACTTTCTCTCTCAGGTCCACTTCTCTGCTCAGTGGGCGGGTTTTCAATAGTCAGCTTGATATTGGGCATTTCAAATTGCAATAGCCAATAGCAGGCTGGCTATTGCTCCCACCCACTGAGCAGAGGAGTGGATCTGATGAGGGTGGAGCTGGGAACACAGACACTAATAAAAACCTGTCAAATGTTCTGACCCTTCCTTACTTTAGTCAAAATGAAAAAAAAAAACTTTAGATAGACTTTCTTTTGCAACAAATCTGAGTTTTAACTGGAATGATATGGGAAATGAAAAGTAGGTTACAAGCAAAGACATGATTAATAAGAAAGTAATTGCTGTATTACAACTCTCAAACTTAAAGCACAATTACCTTACACAAAATAATGGTTTTCGTTTGTTGTATTTGATTAGTGTGTTTTGCCATGCCTATGTAGAATGTTACTTTAAATGGTAAAAGCAAAATTGATTGGAGATATAGATTTATAAACATGTGAGCATTTTCCTTAAGTGTATTTCAAAACAAATTTGTTTAGAGTTGGAAAGGGTTAGAACCCATGTTGGATTTTTTTAGGGCTCCGTTAGAGAGATTTCCCCTCACTACTTGTCCTGTTGGACAGGAAGTAAGAGCAACTCTCCAACTGCAACACAGAAATTAAAATGCTTTTTAATTTATTTATTTATTTTTGTTTAGATTAGGAGAATGCTTTTTATTTACGTCTCCCTGTTGCAGATTGTCTCTCACTTCTTGTCTGGTAAACCATCATCACCGGGAAACAAAGTAAGGGAAAATCTATCTAACAGGGTACTGGATAGCGGTAAAAATGGGACAGGAGTTCTAGCCCTTTACCACTCTTATCTAAAACAAAGAAGAAAAACGTTTTTGGCTTGACATACACTAAGTATTTTTAAAAATAGTACAAATTCTTCTTTGAAGCTAGTTAACAACTGTAAATCACAGTCAAGTAAAATATATGTAATAAATTGCAGGTAATTTATACTTCATCTCACAGATAGAAGCAACAAAGATTATCATTTGTTTAGTATGTGATATACTCTTTGCCTTGTATACCTCCTGCTAGAGTACACAGCTTTGAATGTTTTTGAACAATTATAATTGCTCTTATCTCTTTGATAGTATTAAACTATATTTTAGTTGCATTGGAGCATTATTGATATGTTATTTAAGTTGATATGATTTTGGGGGAAAAAAAGAAGAACTTATTAGGCAGTATCTGTTTCATATGCTTTTAATTCTAGCTAAATAACAAAACATAACAAGAAAGCCTGGCGAAGTAGCAGTATTTTTCCCAAGTGACTAGACGCCATGTCTAGTACACAACACAGCTGCCAGCATACACTGGATGGTAGACAAAAATGACAGCCTGCGGCAACAGCAGCAGTAAACGTCTCTGAGGGAACAATAAAAATATGCAGAATATCATGTGCCCTATATTATTCTGGAACAAAGCACTGGAAAGGTAATTTGAGATAAAATACATAATGTAGACAAATGTTTTTGCATCTAGCCACTATTTCTATGGACACAATAAAAAAAAAATCTGTTCCGCAGTACAAAATTCAATAATATAAGCCTATTTACTCAACAAATGAAATATCACAAACTTAATTAATCCAGTACCATCAGCACCTAGATCAGGAAGCTGGTCCCACACCTTTACCTACCGGCTTGTGAGGCCACACATCAGGGTAATGGCCCAAAAGTATGTGTTAGAGAACAGGATAGAGTGGGACCAGGCTTCTGATTCATGTAAATGTATTTCAGAGCACCTGGGCTGAGCATTCCTGGACAAAAAAAGAAACTAAAGGGAAATCCCACGATCGTACGATTATCGCAAGGTGTGTGGAAGGCATGCGACCTCTGCTACTGTAAGGTCGCACGACTTTTATCTTAGGAACATGTTCGAAAACCTGCCGAGAATCGTAAGGTTTATTAGTATCCTAATAAAGTGTCATTCCAGACTAAAGAAAATATATTTTAAAACCATTCTTTGCAACAAAAATTCCTGTTAAATTCTCAATAATTTAAATCCAATAAATAATCCAACACGGAATGTGGGAACCCATCATAATAACCACAGCAGTTGTGCAGACCCAGAAAGTGAAGTACAGATTTTTTCCATTCATGACCTTTTACTGTTTTTTGTGCTTTCAACAGTAATCTTGCTCATTTGCATCTTCTCCTGTGGTAAAACTGAATAATGTAAAAACAAAACCTGTGATATGCATCTTTCGGTTTTAAAACAAT